ATTGTATTAACCTATAATTCAAGTTTTATGTGATTAATTAGATATGAGTAACAAGTTTTCAGGTAGTGAAAAAGTTACTATTTGTTCAAGTTGAGATCTTTTTCTCTTATTTTTTAATCAGGCAAAATTCAAGACCAAGATCTTTTTTTTATTTCAATTAGACAATAAGACTAAACAGTCTCTAGTCTATATTAAGTTTTAATTTTTTGATTATAATTGAAAAATATATTTTTTCAAAAATTATTGAAAAATATCATAATTGATAAAAATTTCTTTAGCTAATTATTCTTTTATTACTACAAAACAAAAAGAAGGATGAAAAATTTAACTTTTTAGATAATAGAGGATATTCTCTAGTAAAATTTCTTTAACTAGATGTAACTATTGAAAAATATCATATTGAAATAACATGGTTCCGTTTCTACTGGATCATATAAGAACTTGAGATCCATTATAGGTCACCTGTTTATTGTAGGTAAATAAAAAATCACTGTTCAAAGAAAATTGGGACCAAGTGTATTACTAGAAGTAAAGTTTTTCACTAGGTGATAAGTCTCCTTAGATAGTATATAAGAGAAAAATTAAGATAAAAAATGGATAAGTTTCTCAAATAATCAGGAAAAGAAAGAATATTTTAATTAAGAATTTCTTATTAAGAAGAAGTCTTGAGAAGTAGATTTTTAAAAGAAGCTGGAAAATTTTATTTTAAATATTTTTAAATATATTTCTTATCTTTTTTTCAATCCATTCTTTTATAGTTTTCTGTATTTTAATAGCTTGATAGAATATTTGATAATGACAATCTACTGGTAATGAAGTGATAAACTAGGAGGGTCTTTATTTAAAACCATTATAAAGTGAAATATTGTTCTTAAAATTAAACTTAGAAACTATTATTGCCTATAATAAGTTAATTAAATTTGATAAAAATGTTTAGCTATAGTATGTATTATATTGCTTGAATAAAAATGTACATAAGTTTTCAATTGATTAATAAATTATGATTTAGCCTGACTGTAGGTACTCAAAAAAAAAAAATCCAATCTATAGTTTTAAATTAGTTATATTAATAATGTTATTAATAATTATATGAACTATCTGATTTTTAGCTTGACCCTGAATTTTGGAGTGACACAAAATTGATATAGCTTTTACTAAAGGTGATTGGTTAACATGAAACACATTAATAACAGAATGTAAACAAGTTCCTACTGGTTACATCACATGTTCTGATGACATTATTGGTGAAAGAAAGAAAGAGAAAGTATGGATATGGACTCTTCCACTTTTCTAAATGAAGTGTAACTGAAGCAAAAAAATCATAAGGTCATTAGGATGGGCACTAAATTCTCTAGGTGATGAAAAGGTGATTATTTGTTCAAACCGAGACCTTTAACTTCTTATCATTCCGATCAGGCAAAGTACATGAAGAAGGTTATTTCCTTATCCCAGTCAGGCTGTAAAACCAAAAAACAGAGAAATATAAAACACTACCCTTCTTTAGGATTGAGAATGTATTTTCCCAAATATTGTGTAATGATATCGTAATTGACGAGGATCTCCATACTATCCACTACCCTCTTACCATTGCAAGGCAAAAAGATTGTTAAAGAATCTGACTTTTTGAGCAATGAAAAATGATCACCAGTAAAATTCCTTTAACTAGGCGTGACTGCTAGAAGATATCGAGAGTTACTCAACAAGACTGAAAAGCCATATAAGAATCTGAGGTCCATCATTAGTCATCTTCTTCTATATGGATAGATACAAAATCAAGATGAAAGAAAGGAAGAATTGAGCAAGACACTAGATCTGAGTAAGTAATAAGTACCTCATACAGTTACAAGAAAATAATCAAGATGATAAATGAATAAGTTTTTCAAATGGTCAGAAAGAAGAAAAATATCTTAGAAGGGTTAACTCCTAATGAGAAGAGGTTTCTAGCAAAGGTCCTTTGGAAGATATGAAGCATTTTAATTTTCTTTTTTTCTTTTTATTTTCATATAGTGCATTTGCACATTTTTAAATATTTCTTTTTCTTTTCTTTTCCTCTTCCCCTTTTATAGTTTCTCAAAATTAGTTCCTTGGAGAATAATAAGTAGTGACAACCTGCTGGCAATAATGGATAAGTTAGGAGGGTTTTTATTCAAAACTTGGTCTGGAGCAAAATATTGTTTCCAAGATTGCACTTAGAGGCTGAAGCTCTTCTGAGAATTGATAGCCATTGATGAGTATGTCAGTACAAGTTTTTAGTTTAGCCATAATGCAATTGCCCTATATATCTCTATCAGTTTTCTTAATGATTAATAACCACACAGTACTGATCTGACCCTGGGTTTAAAAAAAAAAAAAATGAACGATCTAATTTTTAATAAATGTATTCTTTTATTTAAGAAGTAAATAGATCTAATTAAAATAAGTTATGATAGATTGTTATTAATTTACATATAATATATAAAATAATCAATTCATATTTAAGATTTAATTACTATATTAATAAAAAAACTTATATCTAATATTAATTGTGATTAAATAAATAATATTTTTAAAATATTGAGCTTTTAATATTACAATTATTTAAAAAAAGAAATAATAATAGAAAAAATAATATTTCAATTAAATAAATATTATTGAAAGGAGATTTAGAAATATATATTATTAAAAAATTTTAATTTAATTTTTTTATAATTTTCTTTTCTATTTTTTTTTTTTAACTCTTTATCAAGCTAGCTAAATATGTTTTATTAAACAATTGTAGACTATAAATTATAATATAAATTATTAAAGTTAAAAACTCTAACTAGCTCATTTATCTTTGCAATTACTATTTTAAGTACAACTTTGAGAGTAATTTATTACTCTATTAAAAGTTTAGGTAAAAACTTTTTCAACTTCTAATATCATTGCTTATAGGTTACTACTGTATATTACTTATTCAAGTTCTAATAGAACTTAAAACCCAACTATTTTATTTCAAACCTAACTAACTTCTCTTAATAATATGTTTTTCAGATCTTGGTTTTCTAGCCTTCCTTCCTCTGATAATGGAACTCTTTTTTTTTAATAATTATCATTTTATGATTTTGAGAGTTAAAAGGTCTTTTTATCTTATCATTCATTTTTTTTTTTTCTATTCTTGTTATACATTTACATATTTTTAAATATATATATTTTTTAATTCACCTCTTGTTTAGTTTTTTATATTTCAGTAACTTGATAAAATAGTTGACAATAACAATCTGTTATACTGTATATAGTTTAGAAAGTTTATTATAATTATTTTCAAGATCAAACTTAGAGACTTTTATGCCTATATTTAAAGTTTGACTGTAATATACTGTATATCATGTGGATTATGTACAAAGATTTTTCAAAAAAAGATACAAAACTGTATATACTGTAAACAACAATAATACTGTATATTATTAGAATCGTACTTTTAGAAGAATATAGAACCACGCATTGCTTCGAACCATAATGGTCAATTCTGTATTTGTTTATCTATAAAATTAAGACGGTGTAAGATTATGATATTTCCTTGTGATTAATGTATAACAGAAAAATTAGGCTTTGTCTAAGATAAAAAGATATTCTCATTAATTCTATATAAAGTCAATCCGTACGATAAGGCCTGGTTTTTGTTCAAAGAAAGCATTATTTTGAAACAATTACTTTTACCTTATATATTCTAAAATCGACAATCATTTGTTACGTAATTAATAAAGGGGTGATTTATGGAAACTACCATAGATGATCTAGTCCTTGACCCTTCGTTAATTTCAATATTTAATAAATAGTGTTTATTTTCCAATTTCACCTCAAGTATCTCGTAATTAAAGATAAATGAAACTTTTATATCAGATTCTAGAAAATGGAGGTGGATCCTCAGATAAATTTGAGCATGGCAAAGCGATAAGGATAGTTGCAGCATTGTTTGCACTCACGGCGAGTTTCCTGTCCGTACTCTCGATCTGGTCCCATTTAAAAAACTATAGAAAACCGGTACGGTCAATATTGGTTCTTGCAGTGTCTATGAATCCCATATGGTGGTGTTTCCTTGATCTGGTATTCATTAAATTCTTCTTTTTTTTTTTTTTGTAGTCATTACAACGTTATGTTGTTCGAATTATAATAATGTAAGTTTGCATATAATAACTGCATTCACAGATAAACCAAGTATTTATTTATTATTTAATATTTGTAAATAGGGTTCCCATTTATGCCATCTCATCATGGATTAGTTTGACATCAACAAATGCCGCATTTTACGTCGATGGTATAAGAGATGTTTATGAAGTATGAGAACGCACCTTTTTTATTAAAGCCTTACGTCGGTAAATATTAAATTATTAATTATTAATCGTTCATTACAATAGGCATTTGTAATCTACTGTTTTTTCAACCTTCTTATAAATTATCTTGGTGGAGAAAGGTCACTTTTGATCTTGTTACACGGCCGTCCACCAACTCCACATCTTTTCCCCGTAAATATTTTTATCAGAGATATGGATATCGGGGATCCTTACGCGTTTCTTTTTCTGAAACGCGGTATTCTTCAATACGTGTATCTTAAACCTATAATAGCAGTAGTTACCATGATACTTAAATGGTCAGATAATTATGAAGAAGGGCATATTGAAATTACCAATGGTTATATATGGATTTCTTTGATATACAACGTCAGCTGCTCATTATGTTTTTACTGTTTGTTTATCTTTTATGTGTGTACGAAAGACGATTTACGGCCATATCGGTGAGTAATTCTTTATGATCTCTACTTTTTATCACGAAATTGTACTAATTGTCTCCGAAATGCAGACCCATTCCGAAATTCCTCTGTGTGAAAGCGGTTATCTTTTTTTCATTTTGGCAAGGTTTCGCGCTATCCATCCTTGTATATTTCGGAATTATCCGTGACTGTATGTCTTATCTGTGCTTTGTTTATTATTTTGTTTAAATGAGTTATATTAATTCAATACGTCATTTTTTAAACAGCTGAAATGAATACAGCTGAGAGTATATCAGTGTCAATTCAGGATTTCCTCATAACTTTTGAAATGTTAATTGCCGCGATGGCGCATTGGTAAGTTAATGAATATTAACATTATGAACTTGTGTAGTGTTGTGCATTTTGACTTAAATTTTTGAAATTTTAGGTATGCCTTTTCATACAAAGATTATATTGATGCTTATGGAAGATCAGGCAGAATGCCAATGAAATATGCATTTAAAGATTGTATGGGCTTCCGGGATGTGATCGAGGATACATTGCAGACTATTAGAGGATCACGCTTTAACTATAGGACATTTGAGCCCGCTGAGGGTATAGCACACATTGGACCGAGTAGGACCGCGAGAATAATGGCCGGGTTGCGATTTACAGGTGGTGGAGCGGGTAAATACTGGCTCCCAGGACCAAATTCTCATACACCTTTACTTTCCGATCAAAGAGATGATGATAGTAATAGCTTACGTTTTCACGATCCTGATTCAGAAGAAGAAGTTGAGAATATGTATGATAACTGTAGGAAATTGGGTAGACATGGAGATTATAATTTTCCGGTTATATATACTCATGAGTACGGTGAGTCTAGTAACCGGCCTATAAAACCAGTAAGAAAGGAAACAATGTCTAGAAAGAAACAAAAAGGCAAGAATAAAGTTCAAGAAATTTATTATGGTGATGGAGATGAAGATGGGCACCTTGAGGATGTAAATACTTTACCATTCCGCGCTGGTTGCGTTGATCTTGTGAAAGAAGTTTCGGATGAAAATGGACGATATTTCAAGATTTGCACGGATGATAGGGATATGAGTACACCCATTAATCCATCAATACAACCCTCGTTTAGGGATCCATTTATTCAAATGCCTACGAGCTCCAGAAATTCTTCACATCCGCAGATAACAGATGAAATTCAACCAGAAATTGAAGACGATGTTGACGATCCTCTTGGAGGAAGTCGTACTAATTACTTAAGTACTTCAATGAAATCTTTAGAGAAAAATATCTGGAATGATGATTTCTGGAAATAGGCTATATAAAAGTAGTAAGAATGGGCCGACATAGGAATTTGCCACGAGTCAAAGAACAACCATGCAGAAGATATACTGTATATTTGCAACTTTTTTCAACTCGTGGTTTTTGAATTTTATTTGCAACATTAGATAAGCAATAATTATAGATTGCAATCATCTTGAATGGACACTGGACTTTAAAAAAAAAAAAAAAAAATCATAAAATTTCATTTTAAATTTTTGTAAATAAATAATTTTATAAATACTTTAATAAAATTATTATAATGTTTAATAATGTACTAAAATTATTATGAATTATAAAATTTTTTGTGTGAAATATATGAAAAATTAATATATATATATATATTTTTAATTTACAATCATGCCATAATGGCTTGTCTTTATTGAGAAATTAAAGTAAATCTACAATAATTTACAGACCTTCACAACGTGACTAACTTGTTTTTATATATAAGTACTCTAAGTCAGATTTTAGAAACAATATTATGCTTTCCTGATAGATTGATAATAACCTTTATCTACTAGGATCATTGTCAACAGTTAGTCACTGTTGATTGCCTGAAAATCAATGAATTGCTAAATTAAAAAGGAGCAAGGAAAAAACAATTGAGGGAAAAGGACAATTCAAGATTTATCAAAAAAATCCAAAAAAAAAAACAACTTCTTCTCAAAAAAGATCTGCCTAATTGGGATAGTTTTCTTGCTTCACTTGAATCTCGGAAGAAATCTTCTTTTTTATCATCTGTGGTATCGGATGAATTAATCTAACTAGTCTTTTATTTAAATGTGTATTAGATTGAAATATCTCAAAGAAAGTATTTAATCCTTAGCTTTTTTCCATTAAAGCTTTGTCATCACTTGAGGAACTTAGGTAAGAAACAGGAGTTTGCAATCTATATTATTTATCACTTGATCTTTTGATATTATGGAAGTTTTTATTAAGAGATTTGAGTTTTTTGAGGGCAAATGTTTCTGAAATCTTCTTTCCAATTATTAATAACATCATTATAATATGCAAATGTAATCAATAGGAACTTGTTTACATTCCAAAAACTAATGTATTTCATATTAGTCAATCATCTTTGGTAAGAATTTGTATTATCCAAAATTTTGGGTCAAATTGAGATGAATAAAATTTCTCAGAAAACCATGAAAGTGAAAGCTCTAAGAGGATCAAGATAGTCAAAAAGAAAAAAAATAAGCCTTTTTACTACAAAAAATCTTTATAAACCTTTTACTTCAAAGATTTAATAGATCTTTAAGTACTTCATAGTCAGTTCTTCTTTTTTTAAAAACTTTCTTACCATTAGTATCAAAGGTATTACTTGACTTTTTTTAGTCACTAGAAGTCTAATTTTTGAGTAAAAAAATTTATAAATAAAAGAGAAAGGATAATGATGACTCTTGAGGTTATACTTCAAGTTGTTTTAAGGAAAGTATTAAGACTTTATTAGCAAAAAAGCATAAAAACTTCTTGCAAATATCATTTTTATGTGTGATTAAAGGATTAATAAAAAGATTTTATTTTTAAAAAATTTAAAGTATTTTTATTTTTATTTTTTTTTATACCCATGGTCAGGTTAACATATTGTGTTTATTAATCATAAATAACAAAATTGCTTGTGATATATTGGACAAATATATTATGGCTAAACTAAATCTCATGCTAACTTATTCATAAATGAAATTCAATTTTCAGAAAAGCTTTAACCTCTAAGTGTGACCTTGGGAACAATATTTCACTTTGGGATAAATTCTAGGTAAAGACCTTTTCAACTTACCCATCATTGCCAGTAGGTTGTTATTACCAATTATTTTTTAAGGAACTGATTTTAGAAATTATAATAGAGAAAAGGGAAAATAAAAGAAAGGGGTATATCTAAAAATGCACAATTGTGCATATATAAAGAAAAAAAGAAAAAAAGAAAATATAACTGCTTCATGTTCTTCAAAAAATTTCTATTAAAGACCTTCTCTTATTAGGAATCAATCCTTCTGAGATGTATTTTTTTTCCTGATTATATGATGAACTTATTCATTTATTATCTTGATTATTTTTTGTGACTATTTGAGGTACTTATTGTCTACTTAGATTTAGCTTCTTGCTTGTTGCTTTCTTTCTTTCAGTATGGATTTTTTATTCACCTATGCCAAGCAATAACTTATGATAAATATCTAGTTCTTATATGATCTTTTGGTCATATTGTATAATTATCAATATCTTTCAGCAACCATACATAGTTAAAAGAATTTTACTAGTATATATCTTTCATTGCCCAAAAAGTTATTTCCCAAAAATCTTTTTACTTTACAATAGTGAAAGAGTTTCAAAAGAGTAGTGGGATCTTTATTAATTATAATATCATTATACAATGTCTGGAAAAATGCATTATCAATCCTAGTGAAGAGAAGTGGCTCACAGTCTTCTACTTTTAGTCTTATTGCCTAATTGAAATAAGGAAATAACTTTTTTCGTATACTTCACCTAACTGAAATAATAGGAAATTAAAGATCTTGTCTTGAATAAATAATCACATTTTCACTATTTAAGAAATTTAGTGTATATTCTAATGGTCTCATGATCTTTTTGCTTTAGTTATACTTCATTTGAAAGAATGAAAGATTGTATACCAATTGATTCTCTTTTATTTTATCAATAACATTATTAGAATACCAGAATATGGCCTATGAAATCTTGTTTATATCTTGTTACTAATAAGTTTTGTATTAGCCAATCAGAAGCCAGATGATATTGTGCTACCAAAAATTCAGTATTAAGCTGGGATAGGCAAATTTTCCCTCCAAAAACTATGAAAAAACAGTAAATACACTAAGAGAGCAAGAAACAGTATAAGAGAAGGTGGATAATAAGCCTATCCCTATTCAAAAAACTTCTATTTTCATGTCATATTTAGTTTTGAAAGGAGACACTCCACAAGTTGGTTCTTTTACTTTCTAGAACCTTCTTGTTTTTAGTAAAGGAAGTATATACTTATGTCTATTCAAGCCATCAGAGGCTCAAGTTTTTATTCAAAGAAGTTTATAAACAAGTAAGAGAGAGTAATAGTGACTTTGAAGACAAGCTTCAAATTGTTTTAAGTAAAGTAAAAGACTTTATTAGTTAAGAAAAATAAAATCTTCTTATAAATGTCTTTTTTGTGTATGGTCAGAGAATTTGTGAAAAAAGTTTTTTATTATTCTAATGTTAAAAATTTTTTTTTTAAATATCTGTAGTCAGACTAGATTATCAGATTATTAATCAATTAAAAACATAAATATATTTTTATTTACTCAGTATGATATATACTATGACTAAACTATTATTCTAATATAATTAACTTGTTATAAGCATAAAAGCCTCTATGTTTGATTTTGAAAACAATATCTCGCTCCACATTGTCTTTGGATGAAAACCCTCCTAGTTCATTGCATTATTGCCAACAGGTTATTACCACTGTATATCTGACTAAGCTGCTGAAATACAGGAAACCACAAAAGGATAGGTTGAAAAAAGGAGAATAGGATATTTAAAAATGTTTAAATAGACAACAAGAAAATAAAAAGATAAAATTTGAAAAAAAAATTTTTGGCTTTTTTCAAAAACCTGTTTCTTAAGATTTCTTCTTAATAAGAAATGCCAGATTGGAATATTCATTCTTTTTCTAACCATCTAAGAAACTTATCCATTCTTGATTTTGATTTCCTTCTCATGTACTATCTAATAAGACTTAATATCTAATGGAAGTCTTTACTTCTAGAATATACTTGGTTCCAATCTTTTTTGAATAGTGATTTTTTATTTATCTGCTGTAGAAAGGTGACTTATGATAGACCCCGGGTTCTTATGTGATCTAGTAAGAACTGGGTCATATTGTTTCAGTATAATACCTTCCAACAGCCAGGCCTAGTTAAAGGAATTTTACTGGTATACATTTTTTATTATTCAAAAGGCCAGATTCCCCAATAATTCTTTTGCCTTATAATAGAAAGAGAGTTTAAAAAGTGATAGGAATTCTCATCAATTGCAATATCCTTCAATAACTTTTGAAGAAATGTATCCTCAACTGTAATCAAAGGGTTTGAGCTTAGTATGAACTAGAGACTATTTAGTCTTATTACCTAACTGGAATAAAAAAAAGACCTTGATCTTGAACTGTATCAGATCAGAATAATAGAAAAGAAAAATCTTAGCTTGAAAAAATAAGAGCTTTTTTATCACCTGAGAACTTGTTGCTTGTATCTTATTGGTCTCATGGAACTTGATCTGTAGGTTAATACAATTAGAAAGTAAAGCAGATATGGTACCAATCAACTCTTTCAATCACCATTGACATTATCAGCATATATAAAATGACCAGTAGGGACTTCTTTACATTCAGTTACTAATATGTTTCATGTCTACCAATCATATTTTGCAATATATTGTGTTATCTAAAATTCAAGGTCAAATTAAAATAAACAAAATTTTCCAGAAAACCAAAAAATTTTTAGAAGACTATAAGAGAAAAAAAACAGTAGATAGACATTTTAAAATATGGTTTGATATTTGTTATTTCTAAAGATGGATCCCTAAAGGGAAGGCAAGGAAAAAGTTAAATATCCCTTACTAGGAAACATTAAAATTTTTAAATTAATAACTATAAAAAAGCTACCCACAATTATTTTCAATTATTCAAATTATTGATTTATAGTATTTCCTGACTTTTGTCCTTATTAAAGTGAAGAGTTATGAATTTTGTCCCTCAAAAAGGAATATAAGTGATCTGTAAAATTTTATATGCTAAATACTTTAGTGATTTATCATTAGTCACCTTCCACTATAGATACTCTCTATAGACATGCTTCAATAGGCTTCAAGTACTATACTATTAGTTCTTCTTCCTTATAGAATTTTCTTGCCATAGATAGAGAAGATGTTTTTTAACTTTTCTAGATCACAGGAAGTTAAGTTTTTGTTTAAAGATAAATATAAACAAGAAAAGAGTTTATGAGTATCT